GGGGGGGGGGGGGAAGACACACAAAAAAGCTTTCTCAGCTCCAAAGTGTTTTCTCAGGGGTTCCTCCATACAAAGGAAATAATTTTGAAATGTAAAATAAACCATCTGTGGAAAAAAATAAGCTCCTATTTCTCCATCCATTTTACAGATCCAAATAAGTTTCCAACAGACCACTTACAAATGCTTCAAGCAGGTATGGTTAAAATGCCTCCCAAGGGAAGTGTACCATAAGACCTGCATTTTTCCCTAGAAGGTTGTTTGTAAGGAATAAGAAAAGTTTTTCAGCTCTTGAAAGTCAGTGTTTTGAATAATCTAGAGCCTAAAATGGACTGGCTTATCTGTGGATGCGGTTGTGATTTTGGAAGGTTCAGCTTGAAAAGAGATGCATGACAGCTGACTGCTACCACCTCTGCTTATGATCTTGGAATGTTGTTGACCAGCAGACACATTTGATTGATATACATTGCTATAATCTGCACTCATTACAGTCACTTAGACTAACGCTACAGGCCTCATTATAGACTACATGCTCTCTGCCATTAGTCTTTAGGAAGTATAGCACTCAATTTGCCAAGTAACTTGCAAGGTCCTGACCGTGGAGCTATTAAGGAGAGAACTAGACTGCAGCGTGACCATGTGTGCAGACATGAGCAAACCGAATTAATTTCTGGCAAAGAAATAACGATTCAAAGGTTTCATCCTTAGGACACCTAAGAATTCTCAGTACCCCAGCAGTTGGAAGCTAATGGCATGTTTAGTATAGCTCAGTTCTGAAGGTGAATCACATTCCAGTTATTTAGGGAAATATTAATCCAGTTTCCCCAGAAACTCTTTGCTTGGCTGATCAGATTAAGGGGTCCAGCTTTCTAAAGCATGTGTGTGCACACAGACACAGCAGCCCAACCCAAGAAATCAGTGATACTTCACAGCCTCAGACATATTGCGCCATGTATACCCAGCTGCTACAATAATTAGCTCATGAATGTATCAGCTGGTTCTGCAATTTTTATAAATAATAACTAACCTACAGAGCAGAAAGATTTTCATGAGCCTAATATTAGCAAGAAATTGCAAAGCCTTCCTAACTATGTCATGTCATTGTGCTAAATGCCCTCTTCATGCTTACAATTTTATACAAGCAGGCCTCCCTCTGATGCCATTTATAAATATTTATTTGGCACCGGCAATGGCAATTCATTTGCGTTAGCTTCCTTCACTACAGCTATTATTTAGTTTTTCTCTGTTTCTCAGTTTATTTGTACACATATACAGAGCAATTCTATCGTTCACTCACTGTTGTTCTATCCCTCCTATTTACTCAGTCTTTCACTCTTCCCTTCAGTACAATACATTTATGTACCAAACTGGTGTTAGATGGCTAATATGAGAGAAAACACTACACTACCATACGCCTCATCTTTACTGAAGCACACAGTACCTAAACAGACAAGCATCAGGAAGAGAGGAAGAGTGTGCACACTATGTTGGTTTCCCTTTCCATTTAAATAATCTGAGCGTGCCATTCAAGAAAGTTTTGCAGTACGAAGCAAAAAAAGTGTAAATGTCAAATAAAACAGTGACAGATGACAGTATTCTCTATTGAATAGCACCGTTGCTTCGTGCATGTTCAATGAGAACTCATGAATTATTAATAAATAAATCTCCTTTTTCTGTTTAAAAAAACTCAAAAAGTTGTGCTATTTTATTCTGGGAGGTGGCAACACAGAGAGTCCGTGTGTCTTGTACTATGCATTCCAAGGGAATTATTTGTATGTACAAAATGCTGACAAAGAGTTTTACACAGTTTGCTACATCCTTGTTGATTTCAGCTGGGTGTTACTAGTTACAGAGTTTTAGGGAAAATAGGTGATGACAATAAGTTCAATACAAAGGTGTAGATAGGAAGAATTAACCTGTTGTGAGACATTACATTCTGAAAGTATCTGACCTCTTAGTGGCTCAGTTATGCCAGTCAGCATCAATCATATGCAAACAGGCTCGGAAACTAATTTCTTGAGCCCAAGGGCAACCCATGGTCAGGGGCATAGAGCTCATTTCAAAAATTATGGGTCAAATGTTTCATTGTCGATTAATCATTATATTGTGAAGCATTGTTTTAAAATACTTATGATTTGGGTATTTTTTTAATGGCTAGAGTGACAGATTCTGCAGCATCAATAGCACATCAGTGTCCATATTTTCATTAAGGTTGGGGAAAGCTGATCAATAGTCTGAATTTTCTTCCTTTGGAAGATGCATTTTCCAACATAACACTAAAGGCTTCTTCTTTTGAGGACTTTCTCTGCTCTATCAATGAATCAATGCTCATATTACAGGTTAAATAAATAAATAAATAAATAAATAAATAAATAAATAAATAAATAAATAAATAACAAATGAAAAAGACAAAAATGTGGTGGTACCTTAAAGACAAATTGTTATATTTTAATGTGAGCTTTTGTGAACAAGTCCACTTCTTCAGACATAAGAAGGATATATAGCATGGCAAATATTTATACATGGTATCAAAATGCAGACATCATGATTGGTTGGTTGGTAAGAA